GGCCGTTGGGCAAAGGCATGCGTCGTCAGGCTTGGAACGCATCGGAGTACCTGAGAGGACCCGGGGGAGGCGAGGCCCACGCGGGGTCAGGTGCCGCCCTCCGCCGCCCACCTGGTGACGTCATGCAGCTGGGACGTCGGATCCGGGTTCACCGACAGGTTCTTGAACAGCATGTCGTAGACGTTGGTGTTGATGTAGTGCGAGTCACGGCCGATGTGGTACACCCGGTTCACGTCGGGCACGATCACCTCACGGTCCTTCTTGACCTTCTTGTCCATGAACAAGTCGAACTCGCTCTTCTGTTGGCGGACGGCAGACCATTAAAGTGAGGACATTCGCGTGATGATCCGCTGACAATGAAAAGGCGCGCCTTAACATTCTGAGGCACTCTCCGTCACCAGCGAGACTGAAATACGGAAAATGCAAATCTCAACACCCGGAGGCACTTGCCAGCATCAGCGACAAACAATGGGACGGCGCCGATGGCAAAGCTAGCCGCTGAAGGCGTCGTGTCCCAAACGCCACACGCACACCGCATTGGAAGGGTTCGTGCGCGCTTGTGCAAGCCAGCGGGTTCCTGAACGCGAGTCACTGCTCAACGGGAGCTGACCGCAAGGGCAGATCATGGGGCAGGGGCAACTGGGCCATGACTTATGGGGCAGCCGATCCATGGCTCCCAATATGGCGAAAGTCGGGCTAAAATGGCATTACTGGACTTTGAGCTAGACAGTTTTGTTTGTAAATTTAAGTTAGGCTTAATAAATTCAGAACAAGAAGCGGAATGCGTTGAGGTTTTGAAAATATGACATCTTATAGGCTTTCCCCCTCCAGCCGGCCTGTCCACATTCTCGAGCCGGCATCGGCCTCCCGCGGCGGCGTGCTGGATCCGCCCTTGGCTGGCGGCGCTGCCGAACTCACCCAGGCGTACTCGAGCCAGAGTGGCTTTGCCTCGTGTTCGTACGTCTTGCGGGGCAGGAGGAAGCCGAGGCCGGTAAAGTTATCCACGCGGTAAGCGGCGTTGGTCGCGTGAGACGTGTTGGCGAACGAGTGCAGGTTGAAGGCGGACACGCTGAACACGGACGGGTCCTCGCGCAGAATCTGCTGTGCCTGGCCGAAGTAACTGCAGAGGGCGGAAAGGGGAGGGACGTCACGCCACTGCCGCGGGAGAGAGCACCGATGTCGGCGCCGTGGAGGGAGCGCCGAGGCCGGGGCCGCGGAGAGGGTACGAAGGCCGGGGCCGGGGAGAGAGCACCGAGGCCGGGGCCGGGGAGAGGGCACCGAGGCCGGGCCGGGAGAGGGTACGAAGGCCGGCGCCGTGGAGAGAGCGCCGAGGCCGGGCCGCGGAGAGAGCACCGAGGCCGGGGCCGCGGGGGGAGCACCGAGGCCGGGGCCGCGGAGAGAGCACCGAGGCCGGGGCCGGGGAGAGGGTACGAAGGCCGGCGCCGTGGAGAGAGCGCCGAGGCCGGGGCCGCGGAGAGAGCACCGAGGCCGGGGCCGCGGAGAGAGCACCGATGTCGGCGCCGCGGAGGGAGCACCGAGGCCGAAGCCGGGGAAGGGCACCGAGGCCGGCGCCCTGGAGAGAGCGCCGAGGCCGAGCGGCCAAGAGAGCATCGAAGCCCGGCCACGAGGGCACCGAGGCCGCTGCTGCCAAAGAATGTGCCCGGCCGGCGCCGCGGTGAAGCTGATGCCCGTGAAGTCGGTGGCAATGCTTCGGCGCTCATCTGACATTCAAACCCGTCTGTGCATAAAGCAGCAGGTGCAGGTAATATATATATATATATATATATATATATATATATATATATATATATATATAAAACTTATAAGCTATCATTCTGTTTTACCTGGCCTGTACATTCCAGGGGGTTTCATTTACACCAACACCGACAGAAAAAAAACAGAACAGGGAGCTGACCACTGACAGAAGAAAACAGAACAGGGAGCTGATCACTGAAAAAAGAAAACAGGACAGAGAGCTGACCACCGACGGAAGAGAACAGAACAGGGAGCTGACCAATGACAGAAGAAGACAGAACAGGGAGCTGGACACTGACAGAAGACAACAGGGAGCTGTCCACTGAAAAAAGAGAACAGAACAGGGAGCTGACCACCGACGGAAGAGAACAGAACAGGGAGCTGACCACTGACAGAAGAGAACAGAACAAGCGGCTGACCGGAAAATGTCGGGAGAACACTCCAGATCTTCTTCGATGAACATGACGAACTCAGCTTCCATGAATGCGGTGAAGGCATCGTTCAAGATGTCCATGATCCGATTGCTGATCACAAAGTTGATCTTGGTGCTTGACTTGGCAGCCACGTAACGGCTCTGTAATAAAAACAGTGCTCATTCCGAGATCTTAAAAGCACAGCGCACATAGAGAAGAACCGTTGTCATCATTACTCTTACGACATGACGAAAGTGTCAGAAGGCGTGATTAGGCTTGGACGGTCTTGAGGGTCCATGATATCCGGGCTGTTCGATCATGGAATGTAGGTGATGACCATTCTCACCTACGACCATGTTTATGCTTAAAGCGAGCGGTCGTAAGCTGAGCCCCAAGTTTACGGCATCATACTGCGCTCAGGAGCTTCAGAACTGTTCAGCACACCCGCTTCATGCGGAATACCATCTCTACGTTTTTACTCACGAGCAATTTTACAGTTCTGATCACTGCATATATCATGGCATTTGGGTGGGATGCGCCAACGCTCAGTTATGCGTGAATGGATTGAACAGCCACAAACCGTCGTAACCAACAGAAACTGTTGACACCGCCATCACATGCCATCCCACCGACCTGGAATCCGAAAAGGGCCACCAGGGCCTCCAATTCAGGGTGTTTGTCATTCTCCAGGTAGACGACGACGTTGCCAGGCTGAACGCCCTGGGCGAAGGCCAGTGACCTCAGGGAGCGGTACAGGTAGTACGGACGGTGGGTGGCCATCACCGCCACGTAAATGGAGTCGATGTTTTCATCCTGCGGAACAGTCATAGCCCATTGATGTCAGACAGTTCCACAGCCCAGGGTCCGAGTGGTCTATTGGTGCTAAGATATCATAATTCAAGGTACGATAATAATAATGTATATACAATAGGCAATAATAATAAATAATAAAGGCAATAATTAGTAGCATATATATATATATATATATATATATATATATATATATATATATATATATATACCGTCCCATCAGAGACGTTCTATGCGCAGCACAATGAAAAGAGACGTGAAATTGCTTGCATTCCATCAGCAGTGCAGCCTAACCCCCAACATCAGCCCTACAGTTGAAATGACAAAAACTCTGGAGTCTAGGGCGTCGTCGCCTTTCCTAGAACGCTCGGCTCGGTCTTTGAGTCTAGAACGCTGGACGGCAGCCCGTGGGGCACTGTGTGGGGTGCAGTGCTGCCTTCCCGTCATCAAACTGAACCGCGTGGTCGGTGACCATGCACACTGCGCTCACCAGCGCGCTGGGCGCCGGCAGGACCGGGTGCGGCTGCAGGCAGCGGCACACGCCCGGGTAGCCCTCGAACTTGTCGCAGAAGGCGTGCCGGCGCCGGCTCTCCTCCGAGTCAGCCCACTGACAGGGCGGCGTCGGCGGCAGCGTGTCCGGCCGCAGGTCCACCCGCAGGAACAGCGGGCCGCCGAACTCGCCGTGGGCCGGCGCTGGGCTGAACGACTCGCCCAGGGCCTCGCCGGCGCCCTGTCGCGCATGCCCCGGGTCACTGGCGCTCGGGCGCAGGTCAGGCGGCGGGCCAAAGGTCGCCGGGGTTTGAGCTGGCCTCAGTGGCGGAGCACTGACGTGCTTAGTTCCAGCTTAGGGGGCTTGATCGAGTCACAAGCGGTTTGTCACTGGTTATGGTCCACAGGGGCAGCTGTGCGCCACTGGTCACTGGTCGCTGGGTGCTGGTTACTGGTTGCTGGTTACTGGTCACTGGTCACTGGTTACTGGTTACTGGTTACTGGTTACGAGTTACTGGTTACTGGTTACTGGTTACTTGCCACTGGTTACTGGTCACTGGTCACTGGTTACTGGTTTCGGGTTTCGGGTTTCGGGTTTCGGGTTTCGGGTTTCGGGTTTCAGGTTTCGGGTTTCTGGTCACTGGTTACTGGTTACTGGTTTCTGGTCACTGGTCACTGGTTTCGGGTTTCTGGTCACTGGTTGCTGGTTACTGATCACTGGTTACTGGTTAGTGGTTTCTGGTCACTGGTCACTGATCACTGGTTACTGGTTACTGGTCCCTGGTCCCTGGTCCCTGGTTACTGGTTGCTGGTTACTGGTTACTGACCACTGGTTACTGGTTTCTGGGTACAGGTTTCTGGTCACTGGTTACTGGTCGCTGGTCACTGGTCACTGGCTACTGGTCACTGGTCACTGGTCACTGGTCACTGGTCACTGGTAACTGATCACTGATCACCGGTCACTGGGCGCTGGTCACTGGTCACTGAGCACTGAGCACAGACATGGGTGAAAAAAACACGTCGTGGCGTATCATTGCCAGCGACTGCTCACCTGTATGGCCACCATTGCCAGCGACTGCTCAACTGTACGGCCACCATTGCCAGCGACTGCTCACCTGTACGGCTACCATTGCCAGCGACTGCTCACCTGTACGGCTACCATTGCCCACTGGTCACGAAATCCCAGGTCTGGGATGAACTGCGACCCCAGCTCGGTCAACTTCAGACGCAAATCAGAGTGCATTTTGAAGCTTATGTCATCCTGTAACATAATAAAACTTAGCAAACTTGCGGAGGCGAGGGTCCGGCACAGCTCTCCTTCACATGACGTCAAGGAACGGGCCACGGCTGACACATATTTACATGAGAACAACAGCACGAATCGACCAAAAAACAACGATTTTCATAATATAGCAAGAATGCCCATGACAATGCCTGAGCTATTCCAGTGCCTGAATGCGTAATAAAATGCTCTCCATCTTGATTTTGATAAATTGTGCTCCTCCATTACGCATTCAAAAGCATTGTGTGCAAGAAGTGTCGTCTAATGCAAATTATACTCATCGCAAATCCGGTGCTAGGTAGGATAGAACAACCTTTATCAACTACGTCTCGACTTCATCCCGGTGTAGCTGATTCCAGCTTCGACTCCGGCCCACAGGATTGATCCCAACTCTGACTCCGAGCAAAAAAGCAGAACCCTCAATCAACTCCGATCACGACTCCATGGCACGTGGCTCCGTTCCGAAATAATTTCCGATGGAGTTAATTCCTTCGACAACAGCTCAGGGGATAAGCCGTTCAACGGGCTTCATGCAAACCTTCAAAGAGTTGACAATACCCTTTGATAACCCACAACTATGTGCAGCTGAGCCATTCCTGTCTTTGCATAAGGCGTTTATCTCAATCAGCTCCCTGATCCTTGAACCGACCCAGCTACAGGCCTCAGGAGGTCAAGCGCTAAAGTGCCGTCGGTGTGATCACGCTCTGTCAGCTGAAGTGCCGTCGGTGTGATCACCCTCTGTCGGGTAAAGTGCCGTCGGTGTGATCGCCCTCTGTCAGCTAAAATGCCGCCGGTGTGATCACGCTCTGTCAGGTGCTCACGTCCGTGTGCATTGCTGCCACCCCGAAGCTGAGCGATGTAGATACTTTGGCTCTGACACACGGCCAAGACTGCATCTGCGCCCCTTCATTGAGAACGAACCGATCTGTGATGGGACAATTATTTTAACTTTTATGAAGCTTATTTATTTCAAAATATTCTACTCGTCTATCTGTGCTCTGTGACGGTGTATGTCTCCAGCTTTGATACACAATTCAGGGCTGATGACTCAGAACGCATAGCGGGCTGTCTTCGTGTCGAACAAGTAACGACCGTTAAAACAAACATGTGGGCGCTAAATAACCGATCTGGTCGATGCGACCCTTAAACCGTAAATGCTACTACAGCTCCAGGCCTAACTAACCGCAAAAATTCAAAGGGATCGATTCCAGGCTGACTCCAAGGAAATTTCGTCAGCTGTTGGTGCACTCGCGAGGAATATTATGCATATGGATAAGACAGCACTGTTAGACGTATTCCTCGTAGAATCACCAGGAGAAAGAAGAGATAGAAGTATTGATATTTCGGGTGCATGCCAAGACCGCAATCTCAATGCGTCTATTTCTCCTTTCTCCTGGTTATGCTACGAGGAATAAGGTTAATTGTACTGTCTTGTCCATGGACATTTGTTTTACTCCGGAACATCTTTCGACTCGCCCTAGAGTCGGCCACGAGTGACCTCTGTTACAAACCTGCCGCCATGCCTCATCGCAAAGCAATATCACGCGTACTGGGAAGTAAGTCGTGCTTAAACTCGGCTCCCAAACCGTCATATCCGACCGCAGTTATTCGCGCCACCCCACGGACACCAGCCCCGACCCTTGCCTTGGGTCCACGGGGAGCTGAGCACAGATGCGGGGGGCGGGCCCGTCGCCCTCCGCTCCAGGGCTCCCAACGTCCTCGCGCCAGCTCTGCACAACCTTCCGTCGCTTGACCGAGTCCTCTCCACCTCCCGGCTCTCAGCCCCACCCGCACCGCACCTTGGTAGCGAGCACTAGCAGGCGGCCGGGCCTGACGGCGTCCAGGAAACGGACAGCCTCCTCGTGTACGGCCGAGAGCACGGTGTCGAAGCGGCGGCGCGCCAGCACGGCGCCTGTGTTCTGCTCCAGCACGAGCACGTGCAGGCCGCGCGTGCGGTTGTTGGTCTCGGGCACCATCAGCTGCGGGGACAGGGAGACGTGTCAAAGGCGCTGCCCCTCGGGTGGAGAGAGGAGAGGGTCACAGCCTCATCATCGACAGACCTGCTAAGAAGGGGTACAGCCGTTGTGAGAGGGAGAGGAAGTCCTGGAATCGTAAAATCAGCTCAGCAGGAGGATGGAGGAAAGGAACAACCAGTTCGTTCTCGCACGATCTCGGACCATACTTTGTACCCTGGCTGTGTTCCAGTGGAGAGTCGCACGTACAGGCCTCACCTCGGCGTCCGCCGAGCCATCCAGTGTCCCGCCGCCGCTCTCCTCCGGCCCCTTACAGATCTTACAGATTGTCAGCGGAGCCCCACCCAGTTGAAGACTGGGGTGAGTCGACATGACAGATAATAGTGAGGATGCAGGACTGACAATGTGAATCTGTAGGACACGGAATCGGCAGCGATAAGATGGGCAAACGACCACAGACGGGACACCACGGTTGAAGAAGCCCAGGCTATGCCACCAGTCACTCATGCATTTGCATGACGACCGTCCAGCAGTACCTGGCTGACGGACTTCCACACACAACCGGATCTCGCGTGGGCGGCGTCAGATAGCTCTGTTTCACAGGCCGTGTCCAGCACTGCTACCCACCGACTGTCCGTCCAGCTGGATGTCGACCTTGTCCTCGCCAGACTCCACCTGCAGCCGGCGGAGGCGGCCTGGCCGGGCCGTCCGGCGCGGCACGACCGGCTTCAGTTGCTCCGCCTCTTCGCCGTCCACGTCCACTGCCGGCGGACAGCGCGGCCGTTAGCGGCCGCCGGCCAATGGCAGCCGAGGAAAGCGGCAGTCAGGAGCCACGAGCCAGTAGGAGCATAGCGGGTAGCAGTAGTAGGATGTGACGGGTACCGCATCTGTCTGTCTCCAGTTGGAGTCGTGTACATCCCATATTAAGCACCCTGCTTCGCATATGCAAACAAGTCATAACAACCGCAAGCTTTGCCGCAATGTAACCAACTAGCCACCAGCAACAGTGTTCACAAGTTGGATCCCATATCATTATCGCTGGCGTCACGTTACTGAACCACCAGCCATCCTCTGAGCACTTACGCTCGTTCGGCGCAATCCAGGGGTCGCTGTCGTCCCGCGCCGCCGCGTCTGGCTCCCAGTCGTCCTGCGGGTCCGGCTTGCCCTGCCAGCGGGCCGGCCGGCGCCGCAGCGGCCCCAGCCCCTGCACCTCCCGCTCGGCCGCCTCCTCCGGCCCGGCTCCCAGCCGCGCCTCCTCCTCGAGGTCGAATCCGAGTCCAGCCTGGCCCGCGCGCCCGGCCCGCCGCCGTTCCCTCTGCACCGTAGCCGTCGGCGTCTCCGACTCGGTGCGGCGGGGTGTCGCTACGATGCACAGGTCCACCAGGATCACGGCCAGCACCAGCGAGATCACCAGACGCTGAAAGCGCGTAGTCGCATTGGATACGCAACGTTGCGCTCATTGCATGTGCAACACATTCAACCTCAAGATGCTGTAAACACAAGCAAGAACAAAAGGCTCTTTATGAAGTCGCCATGCAGCCGTCGCCTACATCTTATCCCGGTGGACAGCTGTCGAGTGGCGGCATTGCCAGCTGCTGTGTGTGAGTGACGCCACGGTCCTCTACCGTGCCCCGAGGATGTGTAGGAAAAAAAACTTGGGTTTCCAGGACCAAAATACTAACGTTTGTAACTTCCTTCTTCGGGCTAAGAAATAGAGCGCGTTTCTTACTTGTCTTAAAGTGAGCTTCGTTGAGATAAACCCGGTAAAAGTGAGCTCCCAATGAGCCATGATATCATTCTGTATACTTATCATATTTCGCTCTTGCTAATTCCAAGCCTAGGAAAGTGAGCTCAATGGAGCATTTCATAGCGTCTTGGGGCAGATCAGCACAGGTGATGCTTTAAGCAGCCCACATGGCACTTACCTTCCTCGATCCCATAACCTTGTTGAAGAGCATTCTAGCAGTCATTTTCATTCTAGTTGTCTGGTGGTACAGAATATGGTGGTCCATTCCAACACGCGCTTTCCTGAAGCACGTACAAATATGAATCATTATGTATGATATGCATGCCATTCTGACCTAGACAGATGATACAGTGGAACGACGCGGAGTTGCACCCAATGAGGTCTGCCATGCACGGGTCACCACAAAGGAATGATTGCATCTGATCTGAAATGTTGTGGTGTTTGCTTTTGCCGGCGTGTATACGCTACACATTCTTAAAAAACACACGCAATGGGATTATTGGTAATCGTCATAGCACACTTTTGGAAATGTGTACGCTGAGGTCAATTCATACGAGATGCGTTTGACGCGATCAATAATATACAATCCCGTGCTTACCGTGCGTCCGATTACTTAAGATAGCAACACATCGTGCGTGCCCGGCTAAAACCCACACAACGTGACGAAGGGCTTAAGCGTGCCCTGTAGCCCCGTCCATGAGCCGCTTGAACCCAACCATCACCGTCGCCCGAACTGCCCAGCCGCTGGACGGCAGCACAACGTGCATTGGCTCTGCTCGATCTTTTACCTAGTATGATTCGCACAGCTTGATTCGCCATGTACTCCGACTTACGATTCTTAAGTATTTGTGTAACGGACTCAACTTGGACCCAGACGAAAACCGATAAAGATTCGCCTTAGTATTCGACTCCTGCCAAGCACGTCCAGGAAAAAGTGAGACAACGCTGGCACACATCGACGCGGTGGTTTTGAGCTTGTTTAACACGCGCCCAGATGGGAGAGTCAAATTGTCCCCCCCCCCCCCCACCCGAAAGTTTTTCCAGAATGGTTTCCGAACGGACGGCCGCGCCAAATTTTGCATAGCTGTAGACAATTGAATAGCGGATCGTTTGGCTGGCATCAAAAAATTTATATGTACCTTGTAAGATCGCTGACCGTGCAAACAAAGTCAGGACATTGTTTCAGGGAAGACAATTTCTGGGGAATCCTTCAATCTGATCCAACAACGGAGTGTTAGACGAAGTCATAAATCTCTGAGATGCTTTCATCTCTGAAAACAATGTGAACTACGAGCGGTACCACATGTCATTTTGGCGCTGTCTGGCTGGCCCATCGGAGAGTGGGGAGCTGCAGCCATCAAAGCAAAGCGAGGGAGTCCGCTCGCAATGTACAGCACATTCACAGAGGGAAACACCGGGGAAAATCTTACTCAGATGCCCTGGGACAGCCAAAGAAGCTCACACCGACGAGCCCGCGAGCGCGCGAGACGTGCTCAAGATGATGCGTGGGCACAGCGACTGGGAGCTTCCCATGACGTGACAGCTGGAGGCTGTGTCCGGGTGATCTTGAACACGCCGTGCCCATGGGTTTCCCCTCTTCATTCCGGTCGCTGTCGCTGCGCCTACCGCTGAGACAAAGTCGCCGGAGGCAGCGCCCGCCGTGCCCGCCGCGACTCCGCCGACCGACGCCGGCCGATCACAAAGCCACGCGCGCCGGCGTGTCGACGACCCGCGAGCCGTCTGCTGCGGTTGGGTGGACCAGCTGGCGGCTCGTGTCGGCGGGTCACAGCCATTCTCGGAGGCGGGTGCCTCACGCCAGGCAGCGTGACACGGCGCCCAGCACCCCGGTGCCGCCGACTGCACTCAGCCCCGTGTCTCCGCAGGGCTGGGCGCGGACGGGCGCCGCGGTCGCACCGGCTGCACTCGGGGGACGGCGCAATCGTGTTCAACCCCCGGCACGTCTTGTTGGTCGGGACTCGCAAGAAACGGGCCGTTACCGCCTCTTCGGTTATACCCCCTCCCCCAGTGATTGTGATGGTCGTTCCCCGTAGGACCGGCCGCTTACGGTAGACACTGCTGCTCAGATCAAGTGGTCTTAAGTCTCACAAAGGATCCTTGGGCGCTGAGTTACCGTCCGCGAGGGCGGTACGTAGAAGAAAGCCGCGAACAGAATCGGCCCGTTTTTTGGAAGAGTGGCGCCACTCACAGTACGCTCCTACATGGCGCTGGATCATCCATTGATCGATCTGTCCCGACCTCAGCGGTGGGATCTCAGTGCAGCGGACTGAGGGGCGTCCCTATCTCACGTCTGGATGCCCGCGTGACTGTGCAGGCCAGCGAAAACGCTCCAGCGGCTGATGTGACTGTAAACATTGACCCAACGGTTCCGGTGGCAGCCAAGGGCGCCATACCACGGGGATCCTCCACGTCAAGGCGTGTCTAAGTACCGTGCTAGTGGAACGGATTCAAGGGGGTGCCATTCTGTGCAACCAACAGCTTTTCCGGCTTTTATACTCTTGTCCATCACAGAAAAAAGAAGTGGAGCGCAGGCAAGACAGCGGGGCGTGGTGCAAAGGCGAGGCACACCTTCTGACGTCAGCATGTGGACGGAATCAAGCGATCCACGCCATCCATTCATCTAGATCCACCTAGATGTAGCCACAGGCCAGAGATAACTGGGCAAAACCCATCGACACGGGTCCGCGTCCTCGAAGCGGGGCACCTGGTTACTAGCATAGGTGACGCTGCAGGCGCACTTCGCTGGGTTTTCGCGGAGAGGTGTCTCCCGGGCACTCTTTACCTCGCGTTATCAGGCGCAAACAAGCAGCAAACAAGATCAAACAGCGCAAACACACAGCCGAGGAGGCAACATTGATCAAACGGGTTCGAGGCCCCCGCAATGTGCAAACTTATTTCGAAATACTCCTAGAGCAGGTAAGGCCTGGATTTCTAGTCAAAAGCTTGAAACATAAATAACGACACACAAAAAGGTCAAATATGCGTCATGGCCGCATCGCGTTCTTCCCTGCCTGCAATTCCGGGCCGCAAGCACGATAAATCGCGATAAAAAGTAACATTTCACGCACGCGCGGCTGGCCGCGGGCTCGTTAGACTCCTACTCTCTCATCTGGCATTAAAGTCGCCCGGGTGCCGACAGACCGCCCAGCCGAGTGGGCGAGACGCATCGACTAGGCAAAACGCTGCGATGCGACCAGACTGAGCGAAACGCTGTATTGCGACCAGGCCGGGCGAAACGCTGCATAGTGCGCGCATTTGACACTGTCGCCGGCTGCTGAAACGCAACGCGTTGACAATCATCGATCACCCCCGCCCCAGTTATCAGACGGCTGGGCCTGCTCCGTTACTGACGGCTTCCAGCGTATTCATAATTAGCGTCAGTGCTCGCTTTCCCTCGTCCAGGTTTGTTCACACGGGCGTTGTTGATGCGCGTCGGATACGCGTTAAAAGTAGACCACGTCAGGACAAAAAGTGTGACGTGTTGCTGGAGGTGCTCAGCTTGGGATCCAGATTTGCTATTTCGTCGCAATGGAAGTCATGCCTTAAGTCCTCCTACCCGCTTAAATCCTATGTAATATGCGACAACTGGGGAAAGTCACAGTCCATAAATCGTCTCCAATCGTCTCCAGATATGGCAACAGAATTGCGTGCGAGGCATTCAAGCATGCAACTAGATTTCTTTGTGTTCCACTTGTGCTCTATGCTCTATGCTCTTCTTTGCTCTGTGCGCTATGCTTGTACTCTATGCTTTAAGCTCTATGTTCATTAACCATGCTCAGCGCTAGCAGACAGGCGATAGGGTAACAGCATATCCCGCGTTGAACACCGATACCTGTCGAGAAGTATGGCGCCTTCGGTGAGTGAAAGAGAGTGAAATAAGTAGTCGGATGGCCGGTTTATAGCCTGGGGCTATGTACGCTCATCCAACGCACGTTAAAACACGCCAGTGTCAAGAGAACATGAGAGTGTGTTATTACAGATATTACCAACTGTTGACGCTGTGATCGTAGGTTGTGTATAAATAGGCTAGTTGCCTAGACCCCACCAAACGCAGCTTTTCCGACTGCTACTAGCCTCTGCTAACCGCCTGAATGGGACCCATTGTGAAATAGTTATCGACTATAGTTGTGAGTGATGCGTGGGATAGACAAATTTAGAAACGAAATGCACGTATTTAGCAAAAATTGTTGCGAGGAGGAGCGGGAGCATACCACTTTTTGTCCAAAATTCTGCGAAGGTGGACCAAATGCCTGCAAAGTACTAAGTATCTAGCGCAAACCAAAGTCCTGGAATTCTTTTTATAAACGACACACTCGTATCAAAGCCTGAAACAATCGCTCCCATCTTGTTGATCGCTAGATGCGAGCCATTAACTTGCCAGTTGGAAGCCGCCTTCAGCCTAGCGCTCCTTAAGCCTGTTGCGAACTTTATTTGGGGATGAAGAAAACCCCAGATTATAGCAAAAATATTCATGAGCCAGTAACACCATTTGGATGCAGGGAATGTGCCTTTAGGGCCTCTGCATCCCACGCATCGTTTAGGAGCGCCCGTTTAGGCTTTCCAGACATGGTTCCCACCCACAAAGCTCCTGACCACGTCTCCAAAACATGATGCTCTATGCCCATACGCCTGGCTATCGGTCCGTCGCACCCGTCACAAACCAAACCGCCTCACCTTACGAAGGCGGAAGCCCGCCGGCGACCCTGCCGCCGTCACCCAGCCGCTGCCGTTCTCACACTGACCTGTGCGCCGTCCGGTGATGATCACCGTTCTCACCGGGACAGCCCTGCGCGACCTGTCGCGTCGGATAGCTCCGCCGCTCACCGAACGTGGCCGCCGCCACCGCCGCCGCCGCCGCCGCCAAGGAGGTCAACAAACCCGGCGCACCGCCGGCGGCGGCGGCGGCAGCGGCGGCGTCAGCTGACTCTGACGTCTGAGCCGCGCCGTCTCGGTCTGAACGGGCGGAGAGCGTGGCGGAGACCGGGCGGAGAGCGTCACGGAGGCTGGACGGAGAGCGTGGCGGAGACTGGGCGGAGAGCGTCACGGGGACTGGACGGAGAGCGTGGCGGAGACCGGACCGAGAGCCTGGCGAAGACTGGACGGAGAGCGTGGCGGAGACCGGACCGAGAGCCTGGCGAAGACTGGACGGAGAGCGTGGCGGAGACCGGACCGAGAGCCTGGCGAAGACTGGACGGAGAGCGTGGCGGAGACCGGACCGAGAGCCTGGCGAAGACTGGACGGAGAGCGTGGCGGAGACCGGACCGAGAGCCTGGCGAAGACTGGACGGAGCGCGTGGCGGAGACCGGGCGGAGAGCGTCACGAAGACTGGACGGAGAGCGTGGTGGAGACTGGGCGGAGAGCGTCACGAAGACTGGACGGAGAGCGTGGTGGAGACTGGGCCGAAAACGTGGCGCAGACTGGGCGGAGAGCATGGCGGAGACCGGGCGGGGAGTGTCGCGGAGACCGGGCGGAAAACGTTACGGATACCAGGCGGCAATACAGGAGCACCTGTCACTCACCCCCCCCCCCCCCCCCCTTCCCCTTAGGTCCCTAGGGCCACGAAGGGCTCACAAGACCAAAGATTGAGGACTCTGGCATTTAATGGCTCTTTGCACTGATTGCCCCCCCCCCCCCCCCCCCCCCTGCGTCACTGCGGGCCGCTATGTCGACCAGGCACCACCAACACCGAACAGTCGGCTCCGTGTTGGTCTGAGCCACAGGACTGAGGGCTGGGGCCAGCGATTTACATTAGCTCGGACCCCGGAGTCCATGGGGCCTCCCGTGCTGGACAGGAGCCCACAATACCTAAGAGGGGCAAGTGTTGGCAAGGGGCCTCGAGTCGGCCAGGGGCAGTGCTCGAGGGGGCCCAAAGAGCGACCCGATGGACTCTTCGGAACCAACGATCTAGGGCCCGATAGGAAGGCCTAAAGGCCCATAGGTTCCGAAGGGCTGACTGCAGGTCACATCAGTGATCCAGACCCGTTGGTTGTTGACCTCAAATGTCAGACAGCGAGTCGTTTCACCGATGGAAAAACCCTGGGACAATGCGTATCTCTATTTCGGCCAGAGACTACCAACAACGAACAGTTAAACGATTGTTTTTTGGAGTACCGTCCTCGTATCATCCTTTTATGCATTCTCATACTATGCGCGCAACCAGAGCCTTCACAGGGGTGGGGGGAGGGGACGGCTTACAAAGGGCCTCCTGATAGTGACAGCCCCCTAAAAGAGGTAAAATTGCCGGATATGACCCATTTATAATTGATGCCATGATTTTCTTTGATATTTTTTTTCGTTTTTTTTTTTTTTTCTCTCTCTCTCTCCTCTCTCTCTCTCTCTCTCTCTCTCTCTCTCTCTCTCTCTCTCTCTCTCTCAAAAGAAGCCAGAAGCTGCCGCGAGATATTTGCTGCCTAAATTGTATTCAATGTATTAAACAAATAACCGGCGCTGTTCATTTTACAATGGTCCAGCAAACGCTTTCCAAACCGATAAAAATCAGAATTATATTATAATTATGTTCTTTAAGTTATCTAAAATGTTACCTGGGTTCTGCAGAGGTATTAGCGTCCCTGTCAATGTAGATTGCAGATAGAAATGGATTAACAATTTGCATTAACGTGGACAATCCACGTCTTCTGGAACGATCAACATTCAGTCAGAGACGATTAAGTCAGAAGCGATGAATGATAGAAATAATGCAACTTAGTTTTGAGCATGTGCGCTGGCAAATCTTACAAACCGAACCTCGACATCAGGCGTTGCAGTCTCCGTAGGCCGCGCGGAGCATTGCGAGCATGAACTTTGCCGTGACGCGCGCCTCAGGTCTGCTGGACCGAAGCTCGATTTGTCCTCTGTAAAGAGTCTGCTTACGGCCGGCCCTGCGTGTCATGCTTTGTCCGCCAAGCTTACCGAAAGACGCACAGCACAAAGCCTCCCACGCTGGGTCTTCAATGGTAGGACAGGGGATGTGCACCAGGGGCGGATCCAGAGGGGGTGCGAGGTCATGCCCCCCCCCCCTTGGGCCCCAAAGTGGCCCATAATTCCAAGGGGCCTATAGCCGGCCGAGCAGAAGCAGCTTTTTAACTAGAACGTAACAAAATTGGACGTCTTTGGGCTTCTAGGCGACCAATAACGGTCGCGAGCGAAAGTGAAGGCCCCATGAGTTGACAAAACTTATTATTTACTGATTGGGAGGGTGTTGATTGAGAGGTTTTAAGACACCTTGTTCTGTTCAGACGCCCTTCACTGTTTCCGGGGGCCATGTATGTCCACTTGCGGTGTTAAACTGATCGTTAAGGAGCCTCCTACGTTGCCCTTGATTTCTTTGCATTTACTCGGAGGTCCCTGCGCTGTCGCTGGGACCCTTGCTGCTAGCGTGCCGGGGCACTCTTTGTCAATCAGGGGCCTTCCACGGATTTTTCTTATTCCCCGGAAACGCTCTAGACGCTAGAGGCCAAGGTTTATTTATTAACCTGCCGGGATATTCTCGATTGCTAGGGGCCCTTCACGTTGGTCACTGTTAACTTACCGGCAACTCACGATTTGCTCATGGGCCTTCTACATTGGCCTAGGGCCCTTCCAACTTTCTGTCATTGCTTAGCGCTCTATGCTCTTGTCTGGGGCCAATCTTTTAATTTACTTTGGCTCACTCGGTCGTTAGAAGCCCTCTTAACTGGGTCTTGGTTACTTCCTACTTGAGTAGACGGTCCTATGTACTTGTCTGAGCCTCTATCTGCTAACCTGCTCGGGTGCACTGGATTGTTCGAGGGCCCTGTAAATTGGGGTTTGGTGTTTGAATGTAAGGCCTCACTCTCCTGTCGGGGCCGTCTGATAGCCTGCTTGAGTACACTCAGGAGTCCCTCATATTGGTCTCGAGTTCTTCCCACTTGCTCACAGAGACTTGTGCTGTCCCTAGTGCAAATATAAGGTAGGGCACTGAGCCGATCAATGCTCAGGGGCTTTTTTCCTCTGATCTCGTTTGCGGAGGACCCTTTATCCCATCGCGGCCCTTTCCGTTTACCTGCCCGGGCACTCTTGACAGTACAGGTACATTTATTCACGCACATTGGTCTTGGGTGCGTACAAGCACACTAGCCTCTTTTCTCAAAGGAACCTATGCTCTGGTTGGGGCCCTTCACGTCAGCCTGCCGGGGCACTCCCGATCGTCCAGGGGCCTATCACGCTGGTCTTTGGGTTCTTCTCGCTTGCCTTAAGGATTCCATACCTGTTGACGGAAGCCTTTTTGTTGGCCCGCCGCGGCACCCATGGTCGCTCGGGTTTCGTCGCTGTTGGCCTGTCGCTGTCGTCGCTGTTGGTTCCTTAGCCTTAGAACAGCAGGCGGATATGCGCCGATGAATTTTTGCGCGCAGCTGTCAAAGACAATTTTACGTGCGGCCGACCTCGTATGTGATATTTCGGTCGGTTGCTCAGTTTGTGACATCTATTATACTTTTGCATCAGATTCTTATTTACTTAGCACGCGCCCGGGTGGCCGGCTAGATATCCTTCGCTCGGGTGGAGGGTCAATTTGACCCCGCTGAGATCTCGGGAACTAAGAAAGCTAGAGGCACCAAATTTACAGGGTGTGTTGACCTATACGTGAACTCGCTTAGGTCAAAATTTTAGCCTCATAGGTGATGATATTCGGGTCAAATAAGGTCAAACAAGGTCAAATTCCAGGTTGGCCTCCAGTGCCCCCGGAACAAAGGCAACTGTTTCTAAGCAAAAGGTCACAAGCCCATTTGAGGTAAGTGACCTCGCTTGACCTTTTCAAAGTCATGGTGACCAAAATCATACAAGACTGTTCTGAATTTGCATTTGAAGAAGTGACAAAGATTATGCTTGGCAGTATGTTCCTAAAACAAAACATCGGTCCAGGTCATCTTAGGCCAATGACCTGTTCTGACCTCTGAGAAGTCAATGGAAGATGTATAATGCGGTTCCTGCTGTCAATAAATTCGAAATGAGCACCAGACACTATCCCATACAGATAGAGCTAGAGCAACAAATCAGGTTGGTTTTGACCTTGGTCTGACCTTTCTACCCGACCTTAGGTCGACGCAATTTGCCCATTCAATATTTGTGGTGCCTAAGAAAGCATCTCAGAGATGTATGGCTTCGTCAAACACTCCGTTGTTGTATCAGATTGAACGATTTCCTAGAAACTGCCTGAGCTGAAACCATGGCCTGACTTCCACCTGCCATATGTCAGCAATCTTACAAGGTACATCTAAATTTTTGAGGTCGAACGATCTGCTATTCAATTGTCTACAGCCATGCAAAATTTGGCGCGGCTACGCCGCGCCGTTCGGAAACCATTCTGAAACAAACCTTCGGGGGGGGGGGGGGGGGTCAATTTGACCCCCATCCGAGAGCATGTTAATATACATTTCATTGCTAGGATACTTTGTATTCGTTCATAAAAAAAGAAAGCAAGAACTCTGAATTAGTCATCAGCCATCAGCTGGTCACATCGAACAGCCTCCTAGCCCAGCCTCAATATGACAGGATTCCCCGTATTCTAGAGAAAATGAATAAGCTCCACGTGTGTGCATTGGTAGCATGCCCAGTTCTCTAGGGAGGAGCACAAGATGGGTTTCCGTACAGAAATAGCAAATAATCTTAGAATTTCATGGCCGAACTTCGGTATTTTTGGGGGGGCGGGAGGGTCCTAAAATTTATTGTTCCCCACAATATTGCGTGGCCCTCCCTTGACGAAATCCTGGATCCGCCCCTGATGTACACTCCCAGTCTTGGCAAGCTGCTTCCCAACGTGCAGTCACATCCATCTCACAGCGCGTTTCCACGGCTTAGGTATGCTACGTTTCGCCCGTTCACTCAGCAGTACCTAAATCGAGGTGTCGATATTGTATCATTATCATCAATATCTTCACAAGCCGGACACATTGGCGTGGCTTTTGATTCTTCCGTGTCCATTATTGCTTCGACCACGTGTAGCCAAATTCTCCCCAAGAAGCGACGCAACGCGATACCTTTCAAGTTTACGTGTATTGTCTTTCAGATATAAACTATACATGATATACAAAACGGGAAGAGACCGCGCCTGACGAGCCGTTCCCCCGCTACAGCGTGACGGGCGCCGCTGAGATGGCGGGCCGCCCGCTTGACCAGGAACTTAAACATAGCCCGGGATAGGAGAGGCGCCGCACGTCCGTGCCGGCGCGCAGGGGGCAGGTTAGCGCGGCGCCCAGGCCGCTCAGGACGGCGCCACCTGCCCCGCGCGCCGCCCGCGCCTCTATATGACTCGTGTATCACCGCCGGACGCCGCGCCCGGAGCCGCCGGCCGGGCGTTGTGGGGGCGCGCGCGCATGAGTATTTCGCTGCCGGACCGGCAGCGCGCCGCGGCTGAGGGCGAGCCGGCGCCGGCTCAGGCCGCAGACCCCAGCGGCCGCCGGCAGTCCCACAGGCGCCGGACGTACCGCGTGGACAGAACGCGTCCACAAACCAGAGATTAAGATTTGGCTTGGCGCACCGCAGAAAAACCTGGGGCGTCTCGCACACGAAGCTCCAGGCACGCGCGCTGCTCACATCCGCACCATCACACAGACGCTCGCTCGCACTCGTACGTCGGCACAACAGCGAAATCCGGTTGGGCGTTAAACCAGTCGATATCGGCGAATTGAAAAACAGACGGGAAGGAATGTCACAACCAGTCCACAGACGTCGCGTCGGCACAAACCGAGACCTCGGAAAGCAACTCAAGCACATTGCTCTGGTCCCACGAAAGCCGTCGGAGAACCACTGACAACGCAATAAAATGGATATCACAAAACAAAACTAGAGGGCCGGCGCGCCGCGGCCGGCCGACCGCTCATCGCTGCACCACGTTCACCACGTCACGCAGCGTGTTGGCAAGTTCGGCGAGCAGCCTGCGCGTATCGCTGCTGTTGCGCGCGCCAGCCGAGCGCAGCGCGCCGGCGTGCGCCTCCAGGCGGCGCTGCAGGTCGCAGAACTGGAACCGGCCGGCCGGCGGCACCTGGTCGGCGTGCGCCGTGCAGGCGGCCTGCAACAGGCTCAGCTTGTCCGAGAGCTGCATACAGGCGGCGCTGCTGGCTGAGGAGGTCTCGAGCGCGGCCAGGCCACGCTCCACAGTCGCCGCCAGCTCGCGCACGGTCTCGGCCGAGCCGGCGGCCCGGCTGAGGCCGGCCGGCGGCGCGCTGGTCGGGTGCGGCGGCGGCTTGAGCGTAGCCCGCTCGGCCGTCGTGATGCACGGCGTGGCGTAAACGCCCGGGCCGCCGGCCGGCGTGCGGCCCGCCGTCGCCGCCACCTTCTGCGGCTTCATCGACGGCTTGACGGGCACCACCGGCTTGTCCGTCTCCTGAGTGGGCGGCCACACGCGCCGCTCGAACTTGGCGCGCACGCTCTCCACGCCCGTCTCAGCCGCCGGCTCCGGCTCCGGCTTGGGCTCTGGCTGCGACACCGGCGCGGGTGCTGGTGCTGGTGCTGGTGCTGGTGCTGGTGCCGGCGCTGGCTCCTGCATCGGCGCCGGAGCCGGCGCCGGCGGCGGCGGCGGCGGCGGCGGCGCGTCGCCGGCCGTCTCCAGACTAGACTGCTGAGGCGATTCCTCCTTAGCGGCGTCAGCCGGCGCCGACGAGTCGTCCGGCCGCGGCGCGCGCTCCGACAGCTTGGGGGACGTCTTGTCGGCCGGCTCCGCCTCCCACATCTTGCGCAGGCTGCTGATGCTGCCGGCGCTCTGCCGCTTGTCCTGCTCATCGGGCGACGGCTCGCCGCCCTGCGCCGGCTCGGCCGCCTCCCCAGCGTCGCCGCTAGCCGCCTCGGGCCCCGCCGCTGCCCCGGCGCCGGTCCTCTCCAGCCAGCGCTCCACCCTGTCGGCCTTCTCGGCGCCAGACGGCCGCGGAGGCTCCGCCTCCTCGGCCCTCACGCCGTTCTTGTCGGGCTTCTTGAGCAGCGCGCGGAAGTCGGTGCGCTCGGACGCCGGCCCGGCCGGCCGCTCCACTTTCTCGCGCGTCTTGCGCAGCCCGAAACGCAGGCTCGCCGTGCCGTCGGCAGCGCGCGCCGGCGCCTCGCCGTTGCGCTCGCCGCCGCCGCGGCTGCGGCCCGTCTTGCGCAGCACCGACTTGAAGCTAGTCACCGCCTCGTCCGTCTGTGAGCCCTCGGTCGACTTGGCCACCTTGCGCAGCTGCGGCCGGAACGAGTGCAGTTTGGTTCTGAGCGCGCCCACTCGGGCCCGGTGGGTGCCGGCCGGCTCGGCGTCGGCCGGCAGGGGCGCGCGTGCCTCCTCCGCCTCGGCGCCGTTCTCGCGCTGCTTCTGCTGGATCTCCGAGACCAGCTGGGCACTGATGGAGGCGGCCAGCGCGGCCGCTTCGGAGCGGCAGGCGGTGGGGGGCGGCGGCTGCGGCCGCGGGCGCTGCCCGGTGCCCAGCCGCGTCACCAGGTCGTCACTCGCGCTTGGCTCGCTCCGAAAGGTTGGAGTACTCGGCGCGCCGCTGAGAGCGCGGGCTGGGCACGGGCCGGCCCTGGCCGACGGCCGGGCCCGGCGGCTGACTGAAGCTCTGCATCACCGAGCCGCCTGCCAGTTGCTTCTTCAGATTGGGCGGCGGCGGCGGGAAGTCCGGGTCGATGATGAAGTCGTCGTCGATGTCGTCGGGCGGCGGCAGCTCGGCCGGTGGGTGGGGGAACTCCAGCTCGGCCGGCTTGCGCTTCTGCTGGCCGGGCGACGGCCGGCGCCGCTCGGACGGCGGCTCGGCGCCCGCCGCGCCGGCCGCCGGCGCCGCGAACACGCGCGGACTGAGCCGCGACAGGCGCGGGCTCTGGAAGCCGCTGTTGGACGAGTTGGAGCGCACCATGGCGGACGGCTTGCGCGCGCCGGCCGCTGGCTGGCACCGCACGCCCTCGGCATCAGTATGGCTACGAGGCGCGCGGGCCTCGCCGCCTCCACCATTGCCGGCAGCGTCCGACGACGCGGCGGCGGCGGCAGCAGCGGCGGCCGCCTCGCCGCCGTCCGCGGGCTGCCGCAGCCCACTCTGCCGCAGCGACTCGAGAAAAGCGCCAATGCGCGCGCCCTTGGGCAGCGTGCCGTACCGCTTGATGGACTCGTTGACGTGATGCTCCTCGAGCGGCGCCACCTGGACGGGCTTGCGCGGCGCCTGCGCCGGCGCCGGGAACGTCTTGGCGCGCTTGGCGCGGTCGGGGCGCCGGCGGATGGCGGCCGGCGGCCAGGTGCGAGGGTGTGGAGCGGGACGAGCGCGCCGACTCCTCCGTCTCCGGCGTGCGCTGCTCGGCCGCGTCTGATGCCTCCGAGCCGCCGTCCGAGTCGTCCTCGCCCTGTGACGCGCCCATCTCCTCCGTGTACGAGCTGTCCCGGAACGAGCTGCCGACAGCGGGGCCAAAGGTCAAGCGCGCCATTGTGGCGGACGGATGGGGACAGCGACTGCAGGCCTCACCGCGATTCAAATCACATCTCACACAAATACCACGAGCTCCGCCACACCAGCCACCACAAGCCGTCACCGGTCGCCCTCCACCGCGCGGCGCGGCCCGAGTCCGGTCGGCATGCAAACGCGACTACTGACGCAGTGTAGGGGCGCCTGGCTGTGTCGGCGCTGGGCCCAGCCGCCCACCTGGTGCGCTTGGGCGGCGCCGGCGCCTGCTTGCGGTTGGAGGCAGCGCCGCAGCTGGACCACGGTCGACTTGGCTGAGACGGGACCCGAGGCGAGAGCGTCCACCAGCGGCGCCTCGTCTGCGGCACGGGGGCGCACGGGTCGGTCAGACTCGCGGTCCGGGCGCACCGATGTGCGAGGCACGACCGGTCGGCGGCGGTCCGGAGGGCGGATGGACGGCTGCCGCCGACAGCGTCTGCTGGCGCGCAGACGGTCGCCTGCGGTCCAGCCACCGCACCTCGTGTTCCCGGACAGTGCAGGCCTTCCACGACACGACAACCGCACACCGCGATACAGCACATTCACCGCTTTGCGTCATGACAGTCGGCACGCGCACGCCGCCAGCTTTTGAGCAACATCAGGAGCGAGGAGCGAGGGTAGAGGGTCGACGCCGGGAGGGCGTGGCCGCCTCTCACCGGCGCGCCGCGGGCTGGCAGCGCCCTCCTCCCGGCTGCACTTGATGGCGGGCAGCGGGGCGGCGGCGGCTGCCGGCGGCGGCGGCGGCGGTGGCTCGGGCTTGCCGCGGCTCCGCTCCGGCTCCGGCTGGCCCTCGTGCCGCTTCAGCTGCTGCTCCACCTCTGTCGGCAGCGGCGCGCCAGGCGGACCGTCAGCCTGGCTCCGCGGCCAACCGGCCGGTGCGGGGAGCAGCCCGGGCCGTCATCCGGCAGCGCGCGGCATGGCGCCGGCGCCTCTGTTTTCAGGAGGGACAACAGCTACAAACAGCGGTCGGTAGCGAGCATTCTGCCCAGAGAACAGTTCAATGTATGTCTCCAGTCCAGACCTCACGATTGTGTATGGATATACTCAGATCAACACCCAAGGCTGTTATCAGCAAGTACTGCGGCGTTCCTGAAACGTGGTGCAACGCGCTCCCGCTGCTGGTTTTAATCCCGGCGTTCAAGATGTCATATCACACTCGCCGAAGCACCACTGGGCAAGATTTGGCCGGCTCGAAAACCCAACCAGCGGACCGTGTCACGGGTCAGATGCGATGCCGGAGCGTATTCTTACAACTCACGATGGTACATTGCCCAGTCAGCACGACACCGCTTTTATTTCCGGCTATCGTAGAAAACAGGCGTGCGAATTCCCTTGAAAACTGAAGGTATTCGGCGAGAGCTATAATCACAAAAATAACTTTAAGCTCGTGCTTTTTCTGCCTTGTGAGCTGTGAGTTATGCTAAAAATAACCAACGCTCGCCTACTACAAGGTCGGTTATTCGCAGCATGAGGCTCACTGCCACATTCACGGCCAACAGCACAGCCAGAAACGTAGGGTATTATCATACCTCCCAATGAAAGCCCGACGCCTCCGTTTATCCGGCGCCTCATGGTGCATTGCACATCCGTTATTGCCAGCACAAAACGCCTCCCCTTTGGGAGGTGACGTCAGTGAGGGGCGCCGGGCCGTCAGCCGCGGCCGGCCGCCGCGTCACTCACCGTCCACGATACTCGACTCCTGGAACATGGTCTCGAGGCTGTGGTGGATCTCGCGGAAGGTGGGCCGGTCGGCCGGGCCCCACCGCCAGCACTGCTGCATCAGCTCGTAGATGCGCGACGGACAGCCGGGTGGACACTGCATCCTGCGGTCGCGACGCAGCACGGAGGGGTCACCGAGCGTCACAGGTCGGCACGGAGGGGTCACCGAGCGTCACAGGTCGGCACGGAGGCGTCACCGAGCGTCACAGGTCGGCACGGAGCGTCACCGAGCGTCACAGGTCGGCACGGAGGGTCACCGAGCGTCACAGGTCGGCACGCCGGCGTCACCGAGCGTCACAGGTCGGTATGGAGCCGTCACCGAACGTCACAGGTCGGCACGGAAAGGTCACCGAGCGTCACAGGTCGGCACGGACGCGTCACCGAGCGCCACAGGTCGGCACTGAGCCTTCACCGAGCGTCACAGGTCGGCACGGAGGGGTCACCGAGCGTCACAGGTCGGCACGGACGCGTCACCGAGCGCCACAGGTCGGCACGGAGCCGTCACCGAGCGTCACAGGTCGGCACGGAGGGGTCACCGAGCGTCACAGGTCGGCACGGAGTCGTCACCGAGCGTCACATGTCGGCACGGAGGTGTCACTGAGCGTCACAGGTCGGCACGGAGGGGTCACCGAGCGTCACAGGTCGGCACGGACGCGTCACCGAGCGCCACAGGTCGGCACGGAGGCGTCACCGAGCGTCACAGGTCGGCACGCCGGCGTCACGGCACAGGTCATCGCGACACAGCACAGGTATCACAGCAGGCTGTGCTGGTGCAGCACAGCGCCTGGCCCGATAATCAATCTAAGAATTAGACATGCACAGTACAGCACAGACGAGAGAGAGGGTGTAAATTATCCAGCACGTGTCCAAAGCGTCCTCTTGGATAAAAACCGTGAGCAACTTTCGCTTGACCCACGTCAATTTTAAATGGCTGTGCATGCTGCAGTAATACAGTATAATCACGAGCAGTGCTGTGCCAGCAAATACAATGGGTAACTACGGCACTGAAGAACGCCCAGCCCGCCCGGCCGGCTGCCGACGGGATCGGCAGCGCGCACCACTGACCTGTAGTCCTTCTCCAGCAGGTGGTAGACGTCGGTGAGGTCGACGCCCGGGTACGGCGACATGCCGTAGGTGGCGATCTCCCATAGGAGAATGCCGAACGCCCACACGTCCGACTGGGGGCGGCCCGGTCATGGTCGTCAGCGCGTCCAGTCCGGCGCACACACACACACACACACACGCCACGCACACACACGCGCACGCACACGCACGCGCACGCGCACACGCACACTCCCATAGACGCACACATACAAGCACAAGCACAAGCACACGCACACGCACACGCGCGGCCACCCTCTGCCGGCCAGGCGCACAAGCTTTGCTCTCCCAAGCGAGGCACGACCGGCGACGGCGGCCATCGCTGGCACGCCAGTGGAGCGTGAGAGCGAGGCCCCGGTGACACGACCGCTGACGGACGACGCGTCGGCGGTGGCCATCGCTCCGACACCAGTGGGGCGTGAGCGACAGAGCGCCCCACTGAGACATATACCCTGTTTTACATGGCAGCTGTGATTCGAATTAAGCCGGGACCCGTCCTCGATCCGAACTATCCGGCCCATGTATACAACTCACCGCCGTTCCGCTGATTCGAATCGTGCGCCGGAGGAAATCCCTTCCCGTTAGAGGATCATCCGTTCAGGAAGGGATTTCGTCCGAATTATCGGCCGTCAGCTTCTAACAAAAAAAAAAAAAAAAAATGCCTGGCCACGCAGTTCTGTCATAGCCATTTCAGCTTTGTGCGGTGTTACCCGCTTTTCCACGGGTTTTAGCTATTGCTCGAGACGGTTCAAGTCCAAGATGGTAAGGGAAAAGAGAAGGAAGGTGAAGTTGACATCATGCTGCTAAAACTACTCTTATTTGAGGGCCTTGAGTGGCTAGCAGCACAGAAAATGCTCACGTAATTTAGCCTTGCCTAGGCGCTTGATCTATGCAGACAGCAGGCGTCGACGTGTTTGGGTGCTATCTTTCCGCCTAAAGGTTAGATTAGTTTACATCTAGGGCAGGCTCCATGCTTCCAAAAGCCAGATGGAGGTATATGGTGTTATTTTATATAGCTTTGACTTGCTCTCATTTTAATTTTGGATTGCTCAAAATTCTGCAGAGCATGCCTCCAAGTTTCGTTCATTAATTAATACCGTAAGTCCCCAGGAGTGTTTTTGCAGATGTTCCTTAAATTAGGATGCTGGTTGCTTGTCGTGTAATTTGTGTGAGAAAGGTAGCTTAAAAATTGCTGCATGATATGACAGATGAACTAATATAGATCATGGCAGTCAGCTCGGAATGTTAACTTTTTTTAATGGTAGGCACCTGAAATTGCCCAATGATTGGGGTCAAAACAGCAAGAAAGCAAATGTGAACACTGGATGGAAATAGTTTGTCAGTCATTACTCTGCTAAAGTCCAAGTTTGTGTGTTTCATGTGCAGGAAACAGTGCATAAACTAACACCTAGACATGATGGCACATGCTGCATGGAGAACACATCTGTGTTGCATAATCATCAACCTGTTTTTGTGCTGGTGAGTAAATATGTCACCTTGGTGCTTTTTTGTGATGGGGTGTCTTGCAGGCCATTAGGGTAGGTATATTCAACTGTTCAACAATTCTGGCAGGGGAGTACCAATAGTTTTCTTTCATTAGGTAATACCATAGATGCCCCAGATTGATTTTGCAGACATTCCTCCTGTGACTTGACCATTTGGTTGACCACCTATTGGCAGGAGGGATGTGCTGGATAGTGGTGAACTGGCTTGTCAGGGAAATATGAAGTTACGTCACACTGGTAGACCACTGGCAAGGAAGCGGGGGCTGGAATATTGATTTTTGATGCAATTGGGCTGTTTTGTTGCTTGTGGTTTAATGTGTGGTGAGATAGGTAACTCATAATTCCTGCATGATGCAAAGGATCAACAAGATAGGCAACAAATCATTGCAGTCAGTGCAGAATGTGAACTATTTTAATGATGGGACCAAAATTCCCAGTGAGTGGTTCCAAAATGTCAAGAAAGCAAATGTGAGCACTGGATGAAATTAGCTGTCATCAGTACTCTGTCAATCCAGGTTTGGTGCATTTCATGTGGAAGAAAACAGTGCATAAACTAAGTAACCTAAACCTAATGCCACATGATGTGCAGAGAACATCTGCAGTGCACATCATTACCTGTTTTTGTACTGGTGAGTAAATATGTTTGCCTTGGTGCTTTTTTGTGACACGTATCTTTGCAAACCATGAGGTGGATAATTGAGCTGTTGCTATAATTAATCATTTTTATGAATTTTGAGCCCAGATTGCTTTTGTCATGACACTCTGGGCTGGTTCACATTATGATCTTTGGACTGTGCGAACACGCTGTTTGTGCCACCTAGCCATCAGTCCATATCAGCCAATGCTGTTGACTGCAAGGATATCAAAAGCAGTATTTCAACCTAGTATGTCAAGAAAAGCAAATAGCTTGCATTCTGACTTGCCAGTCCATGCCAAGTCTAAATGGCAATGCTGCCCTCAGGTACTGATGATGCATTGGATGGGGAAAGACAACATAGTTACAACAATTTTTGCCACTAACTATGTGCATTCATGAGTTCATTTCTGTAGCTTAGCTTCACTGTTGCAGGCTGCTCATAATGCATTGGTGCGGGATTAGGTAATGTGTTTTCTGGGCTGCGCAGAGTAGATGACAGATGCTGGGTGGCATACTGATGTGTGGTAAGTTTGTGAGTGTCATTGGCCATACAAGAAAATACTGATTTCGTGCTAGCCAGTTTCCTGCTAGTAAAAATTGCATATAACACTGCTTATGTGACAGATTTGGCAGTGCTGACTGCGCAACTCCTGTTTTCAAGTGCTATGGCTTGTGCTGTAGCTACAAAGTTTGTGTTTCTTGGGCTGCGCAGAGTAGATGACATGATGCTGGTGGCATACTGATGATGTGGTAAGTTTGTGAGTGTCATTGGCCAATACAAGAAAAACTGATTTCGTGCTAGCCAGTTTTCCTGTCTAGTAAAAATTTGCATATAACACTGCTTATGTGACAGATTTGGCAGTGCTGACTGCGCACTCCTGTGTTTCAAGTGCTATGGCTTGTGCTGTAGCTACAAAGCCTATGAGTCCCCACAGATCATTTTTCCAACGAAGTCCATCTCCTCCTCGCCCTCAAAGCTGGTCTCGCGCCCACCATGGCTCGTGACATTCGCCATCCATACGCAGAGTACCGGCTTTTTTTCTTCGTTTTGTTCAGTTCGCCTCAAAAGCGCAGTTTTTTCGCCATAACCCGTTCCTTGGTTCGAACTAAGCGGGATCGAACTATCGACCGTTAATCCGACGTAAAGCCGATTTCGCCCATGTAAACGCCCCTCGCCGAGAGGGTTAACGTCGCATGATCCGTTTCCGAATTTCGAATTATCCTCGGCTGCCCATGTAAACCGGGTAAAACACACCCATGCAGACCGCGCACCGCGAGCCGAGCTCGAGACATCCCGTGAGGTGGCGGCATGACAGCGCCTGGCGCACGACCGGAGGCACCACCGCGACGGTGTCCCCGCCATCACCCACCCTGTTCAGCTGCACATCGCACAGACTTCCCCCGCGCCGCTCCTCCCCACCCGAACCTCTCCACACCGCCACACCGGCGGACGTCACCGTCATCACCTTGGTGGAGAACTTGTTGTAGGCGAGTCCCTCGGGCGCCGTCCACTTGATGGGGAACTTGGCGCCGGCGTGCGCCGTGTACGTGTCGTCGCGCATCAGGCGTGCCAGCCCGAAGTCGGCCACCTTCACCAGCTGGTTGTCGCCCACCAGGCAGTTGCGCGCCGCCAGGTCGCGGTGGATGAAGCTGCGACTTTCCAGGTAGCTCATGGCCCACGCGATCTGACGGTGTGAGCGGCGGTCAGACGCGCCGCGCCGGCAGCGGGAGGGAGAGACGCCAAAACAGCGGGCGGGAGACACGCCGACACAGCAGGGCCGGACAGCGGCCCACGGCAGCGGGCGGGAGAGACGCCGACACAGCCGAGCCGCACAGTGGCCGAGGGGGAAGGGGGACACCGACACGGCCGGGACGAACAGCGGCCCACGGCAGCGGGCAACAGCCGGCTATACCCAAGGCTGTCAGGCCGTGATGGCGTTATGGGCGCGCTGGCTATCCGCGCAGCCGCAGCCGCAGCCGCGCTGGGCTGACACAGTCAGGTCGTCGCCGGGCGGCACCACGAGCCCGCATCAGCCGTCGTTACAGCAGGGCCCTCGCAGCTGACCCCGGCCCAACCGGTGACCGGGCCGCGGCGGTGGCCGGCGCACCGGCCGCCTCACACGCCCAGACCGGCCGCGTACCTGCGTGGCCATGTACATGAGCACGACGGCGTCCACCTCCTCGCGGTTGGCCGACCGCAGGAAGTCGAGCAGGTTGCCGCGTGACATGAACTCGGTCACGATGTAGAAGGGCGGCTCTCGCGTGCAGACGCCTGACGGAGGGGTCAGGTCAGCCGGCAGCGCTGCGCGCGCAGCCGCCGAGGCCGCCCTCGCAGAGCAAGCGCGGCCGCCATGCGGAGCCAGAGCCGCCGCATCTTTTGCCGCCACTGCATCTCCACACAGTCATATTTTTTACACAACCGCAAACTTACAGCAATATCTTTTCTAACAGTCCCACCCTTACAGCGTCACGACATCCATTCTCACAGAGCCACGCGGTCCATTGAGACGGTCGGCCGTTCTCAGTCGAGGTCCAGCACCCAGACGCGTACATATTTCAAGAGATGGGTGGGCACCCGGCCGCCAAGGGCAGCCTGTGCGGCGGGAGCAGGCCGCGTGTGAGGTCGTGCCTTACCCAGCAGCCGGACTAGATTGGGGTGCTTCATCTCCTTCATAATGGCCGCCTCCTCCAGGAAGTCGTCCAGTTGCATGGTGTCCTCCTGCCGCGTAACGGAGGGCGTCACGTTCACCAAAGGACCCAGCGCCGGCCGCCCGATCACACCGGTGGTGGCGCCGCACTCCTCGACGGACTGGTTCATAGCGCTGTCACCGCTCTCCGTCCAGGCTTCAATCACGGGTCAGCCACGCCGACAAGGCGGATCCAGGGTCCGGCAGACAGTGAACCGTAATCGGTGCATTACCACACAGACGACAAAAAGTGAATGAGGTAATCAAACAAAGGACTACTACCTCTTATACTCTTTACTCTTTGCCACCACAGGGCAACCGTCACAAACCACACACGCATTCGTGTAGTCTCGTCCACGGCCATCACAGAAGCGAAGCGCAGGGCCGCGCTCCAGGCATGGAGCTAGGCCCGGCTCGGGCGCGCCGTCGCCGACCGGCGCGCACCTTGAGCGTCTTGACGGCGACGGTGGTGGCCTGGCGGCCGCCGCGCTTCCAGACGGCCTCGTACACGTCCCCGTACTGGCCGCCGCCCAGCTTGTGCCGCATGGTGATGTCCGTGCGCTCGATCTCCCACTTGTCCGTCTCTGCGGCCGGCCGGCGGGCGGCGTCAGGGGCGGCGGCGCACGGCGCGGTCACAGTCAGAGAGCGAGACACGGTACGGTCGCGGACAGAGCGCCGCCCACCACCCATCGCGTGCCAGGCAGGTCCCCGGCGGCAGCGTACGGAGAGCCACAGCGCCCGGCTCGCAGCCCCGCCGCCAGCGCAGGGGGGCGGTCTCCCCACTCCAGTCACAGAGGCAGCGCCAGGCCGCCGGTCCAGAGGCGGCGCATAGCAGGGTCACACCGGCGCGGCCGCGGAGCCGCCCGGCCTGCCGCGCGCACGGCCCCGGCGCCCGCCGCCCCGCGGCTCCGCACGCAGCGACAGCTGGCCGGGCAGCGCGTCCCATGCCGCGCGCGCGCGCGGCGGCGGCCCAGCCATGCAGCGGTTACGTCACAGCACGCCGCTACTCTAGCTGCCGAGGGGGTTAGTCACACCAGGCGGCGGCGACGGCCCGGCCGGCCGGCCGGCCGGCACCTACTCGATCGGGCTGGCAGGGAGCCGTTCACAAACATGTCCGGGTGCTTAGAGCGTTTGCGGTCCTTTCTCCGGTGGCGGGCACCTATGAACAGACACAGGGGGCGCCCTGAGAGCGGACCGCCGGCGGCCCGGCCTCCGAGCGTCGAGCGGCGGCGGAGGCGGCCAGGCCGGCAGCCGCGACAGACAGGCAGCCAAGGTGAGCGCGCGGCGCCGGTGACGCGCCGGTCAGGTGCGCAGACACGAGCGGTCGCCGCGGAGACCGACACCGAGGAGGCTGGGGAGGAACGAACGGGCGGAGGGAGGGCGGGGAGGAAGAAAGAGAGAAAGGCGGTCTCAGGGGATGGAGGACACGGAAAGGAAGTCACGACGGAAACAAGGGGCCCACGACAGAGCGGGTAGGTGGCGTGGCATTTGGTGGCAGCGGTGGCGCGACGAGGACGTGGTGGCCGGTGAGCTGATCACAGCATTTAAGTAAGACCAAGATAGTAGGTGAAACATCAGCGCGGCAAGAACGTCAGATAATGTTAAACCATGTCAGTGAGGTGAGAATGTGGCAGGCGGAGCCATGACGTGAGAGCGTTGTGGCATTATGCCAGGCAACTCAACCATACAGCTCGGCTTACCACCGTGTCAACATAATGGCACGATATACCGAACACGGAAGAAACAGCTTCAGGTCTGACACACGATGAAGGGCGGGAACTCGTTGAGATGAAAACGGCAGAGGAGCGTCAAGAAACCGCGGTCCGATGGCCGCATGCCCGACACCTCACCGGACCATGAACCGAGCATTGCCCGACACCCCAGGCAGCGCAGGGAGTGGTGGCCCGAGGCGCACCTGGAGCCACGCCAGCGGCCGGATCGGTACGGCGCCTCGACCACGGGCAGGGGCCAGGACGCGGTGAGGCAGCCGGGCGCGCGGGAGGCGCCGGCGTCGGCAGGCAGCGACACACCCTCCCGCGTCGCGAGGCCGGCCGCGCGGGAGGCGCCGGCGTCGGCAGGCAGCGACACGCTCGCGCCACGCCGCGAGGCGGGCCGCGCGCGGTGCCGTACCTGGACTGACGGCGAACACGGTGGGCTTGTTCCGCTTGGGTGCCGGGTAGAGCAGGCAGGTGATGAGACCGTCAGCGTGTGACGAGTGGTGATGCGCCAGCTCGGCCAGCGTGTTGAACCGGCTCTCCGACGTCACGTACAGCTAGCGCACAGGCCGGAGAACGGTCGGCGCCGGGCGACGACGCACACGGCGCGGCTCCGCTCCGCACGTGCACATGGCCGATCCCGGGCGGGACACCGATCGGCACAGTCGCCACACCGCTCAGTAACAATGCCATAGCCTGATCCGATGACCGATACCTCGGCAGCGTTCACACACTGCACGGCGGTCCAGCACGGAGGCACAAACACATGACCACACGCACTTGTCGCCGCGTCCGCCTGACATCAGCGACGCCACACCCTCCCGCTTCCCCCCAGCTCGTGGCTAGCAGCCCGCGTGCGGGCCGGCGACCGAGCGCCGGCCGTACCTTGCCGTGTCCGTCCTCAGTAATGCGGTAGTGGTAGACGCGGCCGTCAAACCGCAGCGAGATGCTGAGCTGGCCCGGGCTCGACTCGCTGTCACGCACCAGAAAACTGCCGTTGATACCTGCCGGAGCCACACAGACGGTCAGCTCCAGCACCGACGGCTCACCTCAGCAGGCAGGCACACACCTCGAGAGGGCAGGCCTTCGCCCAGACGGCGCACACAGACACACAGGCCACAGTCAGCGGTTGTAGGCGGGCAGGCAGGCGGGGACGGTCGAGGCCCACCGCCCTGTCCGTCCGCCTCGGCAGACGGCAAACAGACACACGAGCCACGGATAGCACCGGCTTCCAGCGCCCTAACGCCACTCGCGGGAGAGCACACAGCCGCCCCCGCTCCCACAGAGCGCGAGCGGGCCTCGGCGCCGTGCCTGCCCGAGCCCGGAGCCGGCCTCCACGTCCCACCTGAGCTGAGCAGGTACTCGGCGCCGAGACACCACTCGCAGAGGAGCACACAGCCGCCCCTGCTCCCATAGAGCGCGAGCAGGCCTCGGCGCCGAGACACCACTCGCAGAGGAGCACAGCCGAGCCCGGGGCCGGCCTCTACGTCCCACCTGAGCTGAGCAGGTACTCGGCGCCGCTGCGCGAGATGGCGCCGTGGTACCAGCTGTGCTTCTCGTGCGAGCTGACCGGCGTCACGTAGTTGGACGGCACCCACCCGGCGTCGCCCTTCAGATTGTGCGCCTCGCACCACTCGCCCGACTTGTTGTAGTTGAGCACGCGCACCTGCTCGCCTGCGGACGGAGCGGGGCGTCAGCGCGACACCCCTGTGTGGCACGCACCTGAACCTCCCGGCCACAAAGGACGTGAAGTTCGCGGCACACCTGACACCACATCCGTGCTACAAAGGTCACCACCTCCGGGGCACACAGGTCACCACCTCCAGGTAACACAGGTCACCGCCTCCGGGTAAGACAGGTCACCGCCTCTGGGGCATATCAGTCGTTATCTCCAGTAACGTAGGTCACCCACCTCCAGATAACATAGGTGACCACCTCTGGTAACCAGGGCACCGCCTCCGGATAACAAAGTCATCACTTCCGGATAACAAAGGTCAACTCCAGGTAACACAGGCCATCACTTCCGAGTAACACAGGTCACCACCTCCAGGTAACACAAACATCACCCGTGTCACGCAACATGAAAGCTCTTGTTGCTGTTATCTGGGGCTTTACGATGCACTCAAATGCTGAGGCTATACGGCCGTACCTGCCTCTCCCCAGGAGGAAGGACAGACACCCCGAGGAATCGAACCCCGCACCTCCGGTTTCCCAGACGTGCAGGTGCCGGTACAGTGCCGGTGTCCACAACATGGTATCCGCACATCAGTATCACACAGAGTAGACATGGGCCCAACAGAACACCAATACCGCAGCCCACAGGAAACCAAAGCCAACCGCGCAAGGAATCCGGAAATCAACCAACCAGGGAATCACACAAGATAACAGCTCCGTCCCAAACAGGACACCACTCACGAACAGAGCATGACCCCCGTGTTCTGTTCAGGGTGGCTCCTCAGCCGGTCAGCAGTATGCCGGAGGACGGGGGCGGGCCGGCCATCCCCGCACCGCACGGCCCCGAGCTGCGGCCGTTCCGCACCTTTGCGCAGGCTGAGCTGATTGTCACCCTGCGCCTGGAAGTCGTACAGCGCCACGAACGTCTCCGGGTCGTCCACCACGTCCGAGAGCAGGTTCTCCTTGCTCTGCCAGCGGCCGCCTGACCGACGGAGGGGAGAGCGGCGGTCAACGCGGCGCACGAGGGCAGCATCACGCACGGCCGGATCCATCGCAACCACGGCTGGGCGGGCAGCGAGCACGAACAGGATCAGCCAGCCACTCCACCCGACGCAACATGATACTTGGAGACGAGAAGCAATCACAAACCGCTATCTACTCTGATTACACAGTTTGTGAGACACTGCGATTGCGTCCAATAAACGTGACAAATGAAAAGAATGCTCATGAGGTAATCCGTCACAATAGAGAAAAGCTGACTTTGAGTGAACAAACAGATAACATGAACAAGCCACGAAACAGGTTTTCTACCCCGATGTCACAGCACTTTCATTTACCCCAGACAATAGAACTAAGGGAATGATTTATAGATGAGACCCGTGCGGCCACATCATACCATTTACGCCAATCCTGTCAGGCTTCTAACTTTAATTCTAAGCTGCCACCAGCGAGCACGTCAACAGGGAGGTGCGCTTAACGCACAGCTCAACACTAAAAGCACACTAAACGCCCTACAATTCACTTGATCAATTTCTTTATTACCAGGGGCTTCTTTGGTGCCATCGGCATTGAAACCATGCTGTTTATGAAAATTGTAACCTGGCCAGGCTGCCTTTCAAATCACTTCTATAAATGGCTTCAGCACATTAACGGTAGCCCATAAAAGACAAAAACTACCTTGAAATGAAGCAACGGTACTCTGCCCAATCACAACTAACAACCCAGCTGAGACCAATTCCGTTGACGGGGCTATTTATCAATGCCGATAACAGCATGGGGCGGCTGAACAGCTTCTGGTGAGGGCATGCCCAGCCATTTGGTACCCTCTCCAAGGCGACCGCAGCAGCTGGTCAACAGGTGGGTGTGAGAAACGGTCGTGTCCGGCTTCGAGCCTGGCCGCCGGAGGGAGAGTCGCCGCGAACCGCCATCGACGGTCGGCACGCGGCGGGTTCACCCCGACCCCCCCCCCCCCCCACCTGAGCGGCCCCCGGCCGGCCTCCGGGAGTGCGCGGGACTCAGCGCTCCCAGACGAGAAGGCCACGGCTCGGCCCGGCTCGGCCTTGGTCTGGTCTGGTCTGGTCTGGTCTGGTCTGGTCTGGTCTGGTCTGGTCTAGGTCAGGTCAGGTCAGGTCAGGTCAGGTCAGGTCAGGTCAGGTCAGCCCTGCCCAGGTCTGGTCTGGTTTGCCCTGGTCTGGTCTGCTCCGCACTCCTTTGCTCCGGTTGGGACAGGGCGGTCCGCCGGCCGGCCGACCGCCGCCCGAGCGTCGGCGCGCCCGGCGTCCGCATCGGCACGACGGCGGGCCGCCGGTGGCTGACGGCGCGGCGACACGGCGCCGGCCGCAGACAGCGGCGAAAGTCGCCAGGTGAGCCGGCTCGCGCCGCTCTGTCACGCCCATCTGCCGATTCGATGGTCAATCGATTCTCGTTCGTTCACTTTCGGTCGCTGTCCCGCGCCTCGTCTGCCGACTGCTGCACATGTTTCCACCGCCGCTGCGGCCGACGCGATATCACGCGCCGCACATCCGGCTGGCCGCTGGGCTCGGCGCCGCCCGTCTCGCTCGTGCTCCCTGCCCCGCGGGGCGGCGAGCGGCGCAGAGCGGAATCCGTTCAGCTGATGGACGACCCGACGAGCCTGAGCGCGGACGTGGGAGGACCCCGCGGCGTCCACCGGAAGTGGGCTTGTGACGTCAAGCCCTGCAGTTCCGGATGAATGTTTGCGGAAGCGAACTGGTTCACACTCACAGCTGATTGCTAGGAAAAGGGCGACCTCAGCACCAGGCGGGAGACATTGCAAGAGGGGAGGCCACCGTACGGCTTACTCAGCACCAGGCGGAAGATATTGGAGGAGGCGAGGCCACCGTCCGGCTTACTCAGCACCAGGCGGGAGACATTGGAGGAGGCGAGGCCAGTGTCCGGCTTACTTAGCACCAGGCGGGAGACATTGGAGGAGGCGAGGTCACCGTCCGGCTTACTCAGCACCAGGCGGGAGACATTGCAGGAGGGGAGGCCACCGTCCGGCTTACTCAGCACCAGGCGGGAGACATTGCAGGAGGGGAGGCCGGTGTCCGGCTTACTCAGCACCACGCGGGAGACATTGGAGGAGGCGAGGCCACCGTCCGGCTTACTCAGCACAAGGCGGGAGACATTGGAGGAGGTGAGGACGGTGTCCAGCTTAGCACCAGGCGGGAGATATTGGAGGAGGCGGGGCCACCGTCGGGCTTATCTTGCCTGGAGAAGAAAGCATTCCATACGAGACAAGAGACAAAGGACATGGTGCGGAAGTCAGCTGTGTTCCCACTCACGGCCAGTGGTCCGTGACGCAATGATTATCCGCCGACCGCATCGCATCCCGGCCGTCACGGGGACGGGCGGGAGGGAAGGGGGGGGGGGGAGCCCGCAGCGGCGAAAACCACAACCCTACATCGGAAGACATAACCTTTCTGTCCCACTCCACACAAAAAGCAGTGCCGCAGCTCTTCTATGCCTTATCTCTACACACCAGCCTGAGCCAGGTGCGCAGTCCCCTTCGGCCCGTGAGACGCTGTCTACATAATAGCGCTTAACAGCCCCCGCACCGGTGTGGTGGAAGTCGACGGGCAGCCTTCAGCCGAAGCGGCGTAATCTGGGCACTGGCTGACGCGTAGGGTTGCAGAGATCAACGGCAGCCGCAGATGTCGGAGGAGAACGGCCCGCCGACTACTGAACAGCATGAGAGCGGAGGGGGCGGTCCACCGGTAACCCAGCCAGCGGTGACCGCGTGGATCTTCCTCGTGTCTGATCGGTGATGTCTGGAGTCGGCGTCGACTGAAGACTTGACTACAATACACCTCACGAGCCTCCAGCGTCTGACGAATGGCCACAAAGTCTCTAGTGCTGGACCGGTGATCCCACGTGTCTCCAGCACTGTCCAGTGACCCCAGGCATCTTCAACATCTGCCCAGTGACCCCCATGCGTCTCCAGAATCTGTCCAAAGCCCCAGAGTCTATAACATCTGTCCAGTGACCCTAAGCGTCTTCAGATCTGTCCAACGCCCCAGTCTCCAGGATCTATCCAGCGATCCCGGGTGTCTCCAGCATCTGTCCAACAACCCCAGGTGCCTCCAGCATCCGTCCAGTGACCCCAGACTCCAACATCTGTCCTGTGACCCCAGGCGTCTCCAGCATCTGTCCAGCGACCCCAGTCTCCAGCATCTGTCCAGTCACCCCAGCCTCCAGCATCTGTCCAGTGACCTCAGGCGCCTCCAGCATCAGTCCAGTGACCCCGGTCTCCAACATCTGTCCAGTGACCTCAGGCGTCTCCAGCATTTTTCCCGTGACCCCAGTCTCCAGCATCTGTCCAGTGACCCCATGCGTCTCCAGCATCTGTCCAGTGACCCCAGGCGTCTCCAACATATATCCAGTGACCCCAGGCGTCTCTAGCATCAGTCCAGTGACCCCAGGTGTCTCCAGCATCTGGGCCGCGGCCGCCGGGCGTGAGCCAGTTCTGACCTGTAACGCTGGAGGCGAGTGACACCTGGTCCGGCTCCAGGCCGATGTCGGGGAACGGCTGGCGCGGTCGGGTGGCCAGCAGCGCCTCTGCGAACACAGCCAGACACGGACGGCGGTCAGCGAGCACCCCGCGCTGCCGTGCCCCCGCGCCGCCGTGCCCAAGCTCCGGCCGTTGCGGCCGCATCGCACCGGGTGTTGCCGGCGGCGGCGGCGGCGGCGGCGGCGGCGGCCGGCCGGCCACGAGGCAGCTGGCGGATCGATGGTCGGCCGCCGGGATTGCGGGGCGCGGGCGGGCGGACGGTGCAGCGCGGCCGACGGGGGGCACGGCGGCGCCCAGTTACGGCCCTCCGTGCCGGGCACCGCCGAGGCGGCTGGCTCGGGACGACTGCCGGCGTCCGGCGCGGGGACACTGGGAGGGCCCGGCACCGGACCACTCACACAACCCGGCGCGGCGGCGGACGGCCAGCCCGGCCAGCCACACGACACACTGACGCGGGACTGTCGCTGCAGCCCGACACGAAACAAATACAATGGTCGGATACAAAGACAGACAATTGGACGCAGAACCAACACAAAATCTCGCGGTGGATCACTCACAAACTCAGACAGGCGCGTAGTCATTTGGGCAACCAAACATCGACCCACCGAGGCCGCCCCAGCCGTAAGTGACCGTGAAAATGTTACGGGACACCAATGAGCCTCTGAAACCGTTCATGCCAATGCGATGCTTCGACACGTAGGAAGATCCGGTACAAGTATCCAGTCAAAAGGTGAACGACGGTTCACATCAAGCAGGAAGGCAACAAAGCACAGGCTCGATGGCTGGAAGATCGATAAGCCATACAAAAAAGTATGTTGCGGTTTGAATGATCGCTAGATTGATCCGCGTGCTCATGAACAGCACGTTACTGCCACCCTTTTACTGCAAGGGTCACGAGTTGCTGGATTCGACAAACACGCCCAGATAGGCGAGGGCACCTGACTGGGGAAGATCTGCCAGCACCGTCAAGATAACATAACCCGCGCAAAACCAGTTGTGAGCTCATCCGACGCGGAGAACGGACGTCACGCGTGCGCTGGGACGATCCCGCGGTCGCCGGCGGCGGCGCGTGGCCACACAGCCGCCGTTTCGTTCCGTCCGTCCTGAGGACAGCCCCACCCTGAGGACAGCCGGTCGTCGGTCCGTCCTGGCCGGCTGTCGGCGGGACCGTGGCGGCAGGAGCGGCACCACGCCGGCAGCGGTCCCGCCCGTCCCACCGTCCCCACGGTACGCGTCGAGCCGCTCCAGACAAATAAATCGCCGCCGAGCGGCGGACACCCGGCGTGGTATGCAGCGCGCCGCGTGCGCGCGGGCGCGGGCGACCGGCTGCAGCCGGCGGCGCCCGCCCGGCGGCGCGCCTCGCTCAGCGCACTCGTGCCGAAAATCGGCGGCGTAAAAACGGCGGCCGCGCTGCTGGGCACGCGTACTAATCCCGCCGCGAGCGGCCGGCGCGCAGTCGGCGGCGGACGCGATCGACGGCGGGCGACACCGGAGGCGGTCGGCCCCGAGCTCCGCGTGTCCGCCCTCTGACCCCGTGTTTCCCGAGCCGGCCCGCCATCAGCACGGCGCGCTTGCAACACACCGCCGCCGTCTCCGCCCACCGGCACCCAGACGGTCGGAACAGGCGGGCGGGGGCCGGGCCGGCAGCCGCCGGCGCCGCCACGGCCGGGGCCCGCCGGCGGCACTCGCCGCTCGCAGCGAGAGCGCCGCGGTGTTGGCCGGCCGCCGCGCAGCCGGTCCCCGTGGACACATGGCCGGACGAGCGGCGGCGGCGGCGGCGGCGGCGAGAGACGGAGAAATCCGGCGACACATGGCGGCCGCCCACAGTGCGGCCGATGTGGGGCGACCGGAGGCGCACCCGGCCACACCGCCGCCGGGGCACCGGCTGTGATGAAAGACGCCGCGGTGGCACCGGAGACGGGCCCGAGCTCCCGTGGGCCGCGCGGCGCCGCGGCGAACGCGGTCGTCTGGCTGGCGAAGGACGTCCGCCGCGAAAACGGCGCGTCCACCCCCGTGCAGAGAAGACGTGTACGCCGCACACTACCCTCCACAGAGGGTGACTCCTCTCAATAGTCACCACAGCCGAGCTTCTGCAATTACACTCATCAGGAGTAATTTCTCGGCCAGTGCAGCTCTATGGCCTGGCACTTACCAGTTAGTGTCACTTAGGCGATAGGATGTGGCCGCGGAGACCTGGCCCAGGATTACGCGTCCACCCGCCGACGCTCCTCCGGTCACGCTCCCGATTGCCCGTCCAATCACACCGCTGCTGATCACCCGCCTGGCCAAGTCGCTCCCAATGCGCGCCCGTTCGCGCGTCGGAACACGATCGGCCCCGCGCCCGGCACGATTACCCGGCCGTTTGGCGCCGGCCGGCGCGCTGGACGCGTCGATAGCGCCGGCCGCTCCCACACAAAGGTAAGTGGCCGGCTGGCGGCGCGCCGTTATGGTGGCCCGTCGGGCCGCGGCCGAGCTCTCTCACATGGTCGGAGCCCATCCGGGAAGCGGTGCCGTCCGCGTGACCACATCCGCCGTCATCTCCGACGGCACGCGCCTCGACGGCAGGCTCTGATGGTCTGTACACAGGCTGACCGCAGCCACATCGAATGACGGAGCTGTTGCAACACATGGTATTTCCAGGCCCGTCCGGAAATGTCACATTTCCGTGATTGTAACGAGACCTGCAGAAAAAATCTAATCCTCAGAAAAAATCATTTTCGGCGTTCAAAACTGACCCCGACAACCATCATCAATGTGCGATTTCACCGCAGCAGCACCGGCGCGCTTCAACGGCGCGGAGTCACGTGCTCCACGGCCATGCATCACGGCGGCACGGGCGCCGCCGTTTAATGTCCGCCGCAAACGAGCTTCCCACGGGCGTGTCACCAATCACGCCCGTCGCCGTGGACGTCCGGCCGCCCGATGCCGGTGGCCAGCGTGCGAGGCGGCCGGCCGCCCGGCCTGCCCCGTATAGCACCGGCGGCGGCGGCGGCGGCGGCGGCGCGTGAGGTCCACAGACGGGACGGCGCGGCACGCGGCGGTGACGGGCGACGCCGGGCCGCGCACGCTGTCCGTCTGGGGCCAGCGTCTGTCACCACGCCGGCCGCGGCTGGCCGCGCGCGCCGGGGACGCCGGCCGCGGCGGCCAGGGTGGGCTGGCTCCAACACAGACAATGGCAGTCGTGACCGGCCAGCACTAACATCGACAGTCGTCACCGGCACACCCACATACAAACGGGCCCGTCGCCGACACCATCCCCCCCCCCCCCCCCCACCACCACCACACGTTGCTCGTGGATAAGATCAGACCGGCAGCCGGCGAGTGGCCGTGTTTACCAACGGCAACCTGCATTAATATTTGACGCAAATCCGCTGCCGATGGCCGTCGGACAAAGGCCCCACGGCCATCGCCAGCTCCATCGCGGTCAGGCCGGCCAAGGGCGCGAGCAGTCCACCGTCGCCACCAGCCCCGCCCTGACTGGAGACGGCCCTTCCGGCTCTATCCGCCGCCAGCAGCTGTACGGCCTGTCAGCCGGCTCTACCGGAGCGGCTCTATCCGTCGCCAGCAGCCTGTACGGCCCATCAGCCGGCTTTACCGGAGCGGCTCTATCCGCCGCCAGCAGCCTGTACGGCCCGTCAGACGGCTCTACCGGAACGGCTCTATCCGTCGCCAGCAGCCTGCACGGCCCATCAGCCGGCTCTACCGGAACGGCTCTATCCGTCGCCAGCAGCCTGTACGGCCCATCAGCCGGCTCTACCGGAGCGGCTCTATCCGCCGCCAGCAGCCTGTAGCGGCCCATCAGCCGGCTCTACTGGAGCGGCTCTATCCGCCGCCAGCAGCCTGTACGGCCCATCAGCCGGCTCTACTGGAGCGGCTCTATCCGCCGCCAGCAGCCTGTACGGCCCGTCAGCCGGCTCTACCGGAACGGCTCTATCCGTCGCCAGCAGCCTGTACGGCCCGTCAGACGGCTCTACCGGAACGGCTCTATCCGCCGCCAGCAGCTGTACGGCCCATCAGCCGGCTTTACCGGAGCGGCTCTATCCGCCGCCAGCAGCCTGTACGGCCCATCAGCCGGCTCTACCGGAGCGGCTCTACCCGCCGCCAGCAGCCTGTACGGCCCATCAGACGGCTCTACCGGAGCGGCTCTACCCGCCGCCAGCAGCTGTACGGCCCATCAGACGGCTCTACCGGAGCGGCCCTACCCGCCGCCAGCAGCCTGTACGGCCCATCAGCCGGCTTTACCGGAGCGACTCTATCCGCCGCCAGCAGCCTGTACGGTCCATCAGCCGGCTCTAGCGGAGCGGCTCTATCCGCCGCCAGCATCCTGTACGGCCCATCAGCCGGCTCTACCGGAGCGGCTCTATCCGCCGCCAGCAGCCTGTACGGCCCATCAGCCGGCTCTACCGGAGCGACTCTATCGCCAGCCGCCGGCCGATTTCCGGCCGCCGTGCGGGCTCTGCTGTGGGCTGCGGTCAGCCGGTGCCGCTTTCCTTGTGGCGACCGGCGGCGGCGGCGCGCCGGGCCCGGCGCCAGACCCCGGCAGCCGCCCGACGCACCCGCCGACACCGAGTCACCGAGCCCGGCGCCAGACCCCGGCAGCTGCCCGACGGATCCCCCGACACCGAGTCACCGCGCCCGGCGCCAGACCCCGGCAGCCGCCTGACGTGCCCCCCGACACCGAGTCACCGAGCCCGGCGCCAGACCCCGGCAGCCGCCCGACGCGCCCCCCGACACCGAGTCACCGAGCCCGGCGCCAGACCCCGGCAGCCGCTCGACGCGCCCCCCGACACCGAGTCACGGCGCCCGGCGCCAGCCCCCGGCAGCTGCCCGACGGATCCCCGACACCGAGTCACCGCGCCCGGCGCCAGACCCCGGCAGCTGCCCGACGGATCCCCGACACCGAGTCACCGCGCCCGAGGGCACCAGCGGCGCCCTCCGACAAGCAGCGGGGTATGCCGGCGCCTCCGGCGCCGACAGCAGCGCGGTCTCTGCGCCGGTGGCCCAGTCCACGGCCTGCGGCGTCCCCTCGACCCTGTCGGACTCCGGC